AAGACTTACTTTGAAAAATTGATCAATAGGCACTCTTCCTTACCGAAAATTATTAAAATTCTTGCCCATTTTGTTCGGCTAGCCTACAATGTTCATCATAAATGTGACCGACTTTCTGGGTCATTTTCTGCCCTAGAACTTCACGATACCTTGCTAGTACTTGTTAAGAGGGTCCAAGAGCAATCGTTTTCGGATTTAATTATCCAAATTCAAACCAATAAACTGTTGCCTAAACCCTTTCGCAAGCTTGCCCTTTTTTTGGATGCTAGCGGGTTTGTCAGAGTGGGCGGAAGATTGCGAAATTCAGACATTTCCTTTGAAGCCAAACACCCTTTACTTCTGCCCCGTACTCATCGTCTCACCGATTTAATAATTGAACAAACTCATCAAGAAAATTTTCACCCCGGACTGACTACACTGCACTATTTATTACGCCAAAGGTTTTGGATCCTTTCAGCCCGTAGAGCTATCCAAAAGGTTCTATCAAAATGTATCAGGTGTTTTCGTTTAAAACCAAAGGCTTATACGCCCTATATGGGTGACCTCCCTTCCTTTAGAACCTCCCAGCTCAAGTGTTTTTCATATTCCGCGTTGGATTATGCAGGCCCTCTGAAGATAACCCTTGGTAAACATCGTGGAGCGAAAGTTTCCAAAGCTTACATTTGCCTTTTTGTATGTTGTGCCACTAAGGCCATTCACTTGGAACTTGTATCTGACCTCACTACCGAGGCATTTATCGCTGCTTTGAGACGCTTTATCGCTAGACGCGGAGTCTGTGTACAACTTTTGAGTGAATGTGGCTCCAACTTCGTAGGTGCGATTGGTCAACTTGAGGAACTTTCAAAATTCGCTGCTAGCAGTCTAAAAATAAAATGGCACCTAAATAGTCCCGGTTCCCCCCATTTTAACGGCCTTGCCGAAGCAGGCGTCAAGTCGGTCAAGACCCACTTAAAAAGGGTCATTGGTGATCAAGTGCTGACATATGAGGAATTGTATACCTTGTTGACTCAAATTGAAGCCTTGCTAAACTCGAGACCTATCAGCGAACTGAGTTCCGACCCTAATGATTTGCAACCATTAACGCCCGGTCATTTCTTGACGCTGGAGCCCCTCAATTCCTGTCCAGATCCCGATTTATCGCATTTAAAGTTAAATAGACTTAACCGTTGGCAATTAGTGCAACGCCTTAATTCCGATTTCTGGAAAAGATGGCAAGCCGAGTATTTGCATACTTTACAGCAACGCTCAAAGTGGACCACTCCCTTTGCAGAGGTGAAACTCAATACTTTAGTTTTAATAAAGGATGAATCTAGGTCCCCTCTGCATTGGTCTTTGGGCCGCATAATCGCATTGCATCCAGGCAAAGATGGCCATGTAAGAGTGGTTACTTTAAAAACACAACATGGGATACTCAAGCGTCCTACAGTTAAGTTATGTCCATTGCCGACTAACTAATATTTCACTCCTTAATCCGTAGATTAAGGTCTTTATGTCGCGTGCTGTTTTGAATAATTTTTTTGTTTTTTTTTTGGGAATCCGAGGTTGTTTTGCTTCCGCAGTATATGAATTTTGTTCTTATCGCGTGTTTTTTTTTATACTCGAGAATTTTAGCATTTTAATGTTTATTTGGGATTGGGAAATAAAACTCCGTTTTAAGTGGGCGGAAAATGTTCGTGCAAATGTTTGGGAAAAGGGGGAATTTGTTTGTATATTTAAAATTCGATATTGACATTAAAAAAAACCATACAATTTCAAACCATTCGGCACCATATATACGCTACGACCTTCGAAGCAGTCGAGTTCGAGTAGTGCGAGGTCGCGTGTCCGTAGCCAAGACTACATATTTTGAATCAAAAACTCTCCAAAAATATTCATTAGAAACTCAATTATCTACCCGTTTTCGAAGTGACCAGTGGGATTACGTTGTTTATGGAACAGGAGCTCCTGTGAGGCGCCAACACCAGCGCATAGCACAACCCTGTGCAACTCCAAGGTAGGTGCCTTATCTAATATTGCCTTTGTATGGTTCCGCGATCAAATTTCGACGCGTTTACAGTCCGCGGCTCTCCAGAATAAATTTCCCAGCGTTTTAATCATAAACAATAGTTTCTTTTACTAAATACGTGCATCTGATTCATTTGCAACTCCACTTTATTAAAAAATAAACCTTTCTTTCAAAATATTGCTGAACACATATCATGATATTAGGATATATGATTATTTATGTTCAAACAAACAAGCGTAATAGCACGCTTTGAATTAAGTAGGTATAGGCTTTTTACGTTATATTTAGGATGACGTCACATTTAGTAAATTTCTGTTGCTAACCTAACAAAACTAAAAGTACTTTTCAACGCATTTAAAGTAGGGCAATTTCAGATGTTTTTGGTTGGCAACGGCGCGCGACGTTGCATGATTTAAATCGATTTATATAAACATTTTCAAATAATGCGTGTCGATTCATTTCGTTATTTTTAGCTGTCAGTCGTCTTGATAATTTATTATTAACTATTTTGTATAATCCTAATTAAGTGCCAAAAATACGTTACAGTTAAAAAAAAGTTCTTTCAAGAATTCAGTACTTCTTCGTAGCGTAAACTTACTCAGAAAATGCCAGCAGGTTTGTCGGAGTCGGCCTCAGGAAAGGGTAGTATACTTAATAACGTATTTCCAGCAGAAACGCGACCTTTTTGCTTCTTACTACTGCGAGGCATGTAAGTAAACTACCTATTTTCCGTTTCGTTTGACAGGAAAGACCTATCTATTTTTACCTGGTATGCGCGCGCAATATGAGGCAAGTCTTTTTATTAGCTAACTAGTAAAGGTGTGAAGTGTTCGTTTTGCACGCTGGACATCTCCTTGTCCTTGTTCATTGCTCGTGGTCTGACAAAAATAAAAGTACGGTTGATATTCAACTTGACATAGCTTGACAAGTGACACTCAAAAGTAGTTTGAAATTTTCATTGATAAATACGTTGCAAAACACGCGGTTTTTCTTCTTCTCTTTTTATCCCGTGCAAATAAGGAGGATGGATTGCCATACGTAAGTTTAACAAAATTTGGTTAATTTTGCCTCGTCTTGCGCAATGAGCGTTCTGTGTCTTTTTTTTTCGTATTATTACCTCTTTGCTTGGTAAAATAGATAGGTCTACTGTCACGTGGCATTCTGATAAATTATAAGAAAAAAAAATAGGCATTGACAACATTGTCTCTTTTTGTTCTATGACGTCATCCTAAATATAACGTAAAAAACCTATATCATAATAAATTTTTCAAAAAAAAAAAAAATCAAAAAAAATCTAAATAAAAATCAAAAATTGTTAAATCTTCAATTTAATGCAAAATTATTTTTCCCACGCACGACAATACTCTTGTGGGATAGTTTGTATTTATTGTTAATATTAGCAAAATTTGTATTATGTTTGAATTGTTCAATAAATGCCTTATAATAATAATAATAATAATAAAAAAGGCCCTCGGGCTAGTTTCGTCTTCAGGCATTATAATCTACATAATCCCCTTGGTACATAAATAGCTATTATTCACAAATAGGTGAAGAATGCCATGAAATATTTTATAATGTACCTATTTAAATTCTTAGAAATAAAATTGTTTTCAAAAACATTTATGCTCAATAATTTTTTTAGTTTACTGTAAGGAAATGAGATTTCCTTCAATACAATAAAGAATGTCTCCTCACAGTTACCTTTCGTTCCCTGGCAACGAATAGGTGAAAGAAAATATTGCCCTTCTCTATCTATTTTCGAAACAATCCATTACCTCGGCTAGGACTTACCCTCCATTAAATTGGTCGAAACCAAACGTTTCAATGATTTTATTTGTCACTCATTTGTAAAACGTCACTTATCAAGTCAAAACATAACCAGCGAAAATTGATTTTTACGAGCTACTGGCTCTACTGACTTGTAAAATTGACAGCTAAACTGTAAAAACTTTTCACAAGTCAGTAGAATTATTTATTTTTGAAAAATCGGTTTTATCACAAGAATAATTGCTTGTAGGTACCTTCTGGGAGACTTTTCTGGTGATAAACTGTTGGCTACGAGTCTACGACTGCAGCTTCATTAATAATATCTTGTAATAAATTCATTTCTGGAAAAAAATTGCAAAATGGAAATCTGTCAAAAAACCTATTTATAACTAGAAACAACGTCTTAACAACGTATCATTCTCATAGTTATACCAACTACCAAAACCTTCTGTGAGAAAAAATCAAGGAAAAGCATATAAATTTCAAATTTTTGTTATGTATTGATTTTTTATTTGTCCCTATATCTTTTACAAATGAGTAACAAATAAATTATTGTACATTATACGCCAGGTAGCAGTTTTTACTGGCTCTTGAAGGTGACAAGCTCGCCTGGCGGCTCGCTAGTCATTTCCTTCAATCGCCAGTAAAAACTGTTTTACCTGGCTAATAATGTAAAATACTATTATCAACCTTATCATGAATTGATAAAGTTTCTCCCACAGAAATTAAATGGTACAAATTTTGCGATTGAATGCGAAAGATTTATTTTCAAATAACATGCAATACCTGATACGTAAGTTTCGCTATGGAGATTTATGATACAAGTGGAATTTTGGATAGAATATTGCAGCTTGTCTTAAAATATAGACATTATCCCTTGCGCCGATTTTGCGCGAAATCAGCCCAAGATTATTATTTATTAGAGCCCGTCCGATGCGAAATTAATGAGCAAGAAGCCCGCGTATTGGGACCTGAAATATGATTCTTTAATCAGCACAAAGCCACTTTTATAACTTTGAGCAAATTATTACACTTTGCACCCGTTTGAAGCTGACAGGAAGAAAATTAAGTAAACAGCAATTAAGTATTAGTTATCTGAAAACTTTGAAACTCTTAAAAATAAAGTTTGAATTAAACCTAAATCGCAAACTTGTATCAAAACTTAGTTTATAAGTGGCTCGGCCATCCGTCTTCCTAATTCTGTCTAACTCTCTAATTCACTTTCCAGATCGTCCAAAAGTGCTTAGCGTTGGACGAGAACGCGTCAAAACCTCCACCCTGTTCGCACCGGTCAATTTCGAATGTTTAGGCGAAGGCAACCCACCGCCGATCTACCAGTGGATCCACACAAAAACGTCACAACAATCGGATGACGTCGTGGAGCGCGGCAGGGAGGCCAAGCTACACATCAGAAACGTCACTTACGAGTATCAGGGAGAATGGAGGTGCAAGGTTACGAATGTTATTAAAGGAGAGGAACAGAGTGATATCAGTGAGCCCATTATACTTCAAGTACATGGTAGGTGTGATTTGATTTTCAAAGATAGGTACAAGTTTAGGAAGGGCCAGTTTTTATAAAAGCCATTGAATAGCCTTGAAGAATATAATATATTGTCACTGTAGTGGAAGAAAGACATCCTGTGTAGGCATATTAGATAGGGGAAACTGGGCCTAGACTCTAGCTAGAAATCAAGGTAGGTTCTTCACAAGAGCATTTCTAAGATGTTTCCTGCACCGGTCCCCTTTCTATAATGTGGTTCCTGTGAAAATTCAGCTCAAGCAAGCAACAATACGATTTGTGCTAGTTTGAGTCAGTCCGCAGTCATCTGATACCAGCAATAATTAATTGCGAAAACGGAAATATTGTACAGAATGTCTGTTTCTCAGCTAGTAAGCCGACTACCATAAATTCCATACTGTAATAATATGTATTTATTTTGGTAAGGCACGTTCTCCTACTCTAACTTTCCGTTTTTGATTCATGCCGTTTCGCGCAAGAGATAGTTCAATGCGTCCCCTTTAACTCTAATGTGAGTACTAAACTTTTCTCATACAGGAATTCAGTTTGAAGACAGCGTTTTGTGCCCTTTTTGCAAACTCGATTCGTAAAGTCGAATTTCTCCTCCGAAGAAAAGTTTTCCCACGTAATTTATGCGCTTAAAAAACATAAAATGATATGACTTTTACAGATAAATAAAACTGAATTTCATTCATTTATTGTACATGTAATGCTGCTCTTTTAGTGTTGCCCACCTAAAAAATTTAAGACCGTGAAAGTCAATAAAGGGTTATATACATATGTATGTATAGGTGCTCGAAGGGACATTAAGCTGAAATATGGGAGGTAATTATCGGCCTCTCACTACCAAAAAGAATTACCCTCAATTAAAAGCTTGATTACGCGCCAGTAACAGTAATTATCATACAAAATCGCTAATTTTGCTCATTAATAATGGGGCCTCATCAATTACGTTTGACCAGTCCATTAATTAGGCCTCGCAATCTCACGAATTCACACCAACGTTTAAATAATTTCTTGTTGTCTGAAGGGTAGGATTTGAAATGTAAATTTGAGGTTGATTCAATTTTTGCGTTGTACAACTTCGCTGTGATATTTTTCTTCCACGAGAGAATAGTTTATGTTAATTTTATACACTTCAAGCGTACACTTCATACCTCATTTTGGTTATGAAAGTTTATGCATCTTTCAAAGTAACCTACAAATCCAAGACAGTATTTCATCAACTCATAAAAAAATAGAGTTTGAGGTTCAGGGGCGGATGGGCCCACCGGGATACCGGGAGATTTCCCGGTGCGCCGGTCCTTCAGTAGTCGTCGTCGGCGCCGTTGCGGAAAGTTCGAAAATGATTGAAAAAGCAAAAAAGCCAGATACAAATAGCTAATTTTTTTATTGATTTGGCTGCTTGCAACTTTCCACATCCTGGAACTACGTAAATCCTAAGTATCCATGCCGTAAACGCCCATACCATTCCAAAAGTTCCATGGCAAGTTCATTGTTTGCTATGTTCCGTTTTGGGGTGTCTTCAGGTTCGTCTGCCTCTTTTTATTACTAAACAAGTACCACTTTACGAGAAGTTCTGCGTTGATGTAAACGTAGATTTATGTACGTACGAGACTCGTAAACTACCACTACAGTTTAAACAAGAAAATACGTAAGAGGAAACGTATCTTTGCGGCTGCACGAATAAATTTAGGTGCCTATCTGTTGTGATAATGTTCGTATCTATTTCGTTTGTATTCGTTTTCCCCTTTTCCATACGAACTGGCTCCCAATTGGTGTGTTCGGCTTAGAGATTAAAGTGTGGTAACGTTACCGCGGTAACGGTAATTTTGGTAATTCAACCCGACAAATTTCTTTACCGGTAATTTTCAGAAAGGCTTCCTGAATAAAATCACATTCAGGCGATTATACAACTCACTGTACATTTTTCCCATATGACACGAGAGGCTTAATAAGTGATAAGCCTTGGGATTATCGCGCTTGGTGGCATTTGGGATTATCGCGCTTGGTGGCAATGATTATAGCAAATTTTTTTATAGATTTTTTTTTGTTTCATCTCTTTCTTATACAAGCTAGTAGAAAAAGACAAGAATAAGCTCAGTGCGCACTAACGCTTTTAATAGAATTCGCTATTACTGTCACTTGGTGGATTTGCTAAAGCCACTGTTGCTTGGTAACGCATAATCAATTTTTTATTTTAAAAAAAAATGTCAAACCAAATTAGATTTGGAAAAGTTTCTTTGCCCGAGGTGGACGAAAACATAAGAAATTTAAAGCCAAAAAATACCGAGAAGTCGGACAAATATGTTTGGAAGCAATTCACGGAGTTTTGTCGTGAAAAAAAACACCACTTCGAAAGTATGACGCCAGAGGAAGAACTATCAAAAATACTGAAGGACTGGGCGTACAACATGCGCAAAACAGATGGAAGCAATTATAAAGAAAGTGTCATCAAGCTTCTTTGGAATAAAACTGCTAAAATGCTACAAAACCTTTACTTTGAAAAGCATAATCGGCGTATAGACCCTTTCAATGATCAAGTTTTTCAAGAGGCCCGAAATGCTAGGAATGCCAAGAGAAAAGAACTCCAACAAGTGCTCAGTGCCCGGAAAGTGAGCTCGACAGCTTTAACAAGTCCAGAAATTGAAAAAATGGCCTCAAATTCGAACGAAAACACTCCCGATGGACTTCAAAAAAAGTTTTTTTTTATTGCTGCATCCGAATTGGCATGGCGTGGTAACGAAGGTGCTTTTTGCGAGGTGGAATTTTTCAGACAGGAAAGGCACAATGACGGGTCGCTTACCGGTCGCCTGGAATATAATCCTATATTTACCAAAACTACTCAAGGAGGCGCCAATAGAGTATCAGAAAGTAAGTGGCTGGTAAAAAATGTTTTACATCCTGATTTCTGTCCAGTTCGACTTTTTTTAAAATTGATGTCTAAGAGGGGGACGAACATTCAAACAAATAGACTATTTTTGACTGCTAATAAAAATTGGAATGCTAGCGCTCTATCTCCTTGGTACAAAAACTGCCCGGTTGGCGTTAATACTGTCAGTAAATGGACGGAATTGGGTGCAAAAAGCAGCGGATTAGATACCAACAACAAAAAATTCACAAATCATTCTCATAGAGCCTCAGCTGTGAGCACACTCACTAGTTCTGGTGCAAATCTTCAAGAGGTTATAAAAATGACTGGACATAGCTCTATAAACTCCGTGACGCCGTATCTCCAGCTTACTGAACAACATCATAATAAAATTATTTCGAACATGAGGGAAGAACATGGAGCATCCACTTCTGACAACAACCAACCCATCAGAAGTTCTGTAGAAAATCAAACAGGAATTAGCAATATTTATTATAATAATTGTTCATTTATTATTAATAATAATAAAAATTAATAAAGTATTAAAGTTTAGTTCGTTGTATAACCTTTTGAATACCACTCGATGTTTCAGGATTACCTAATACTTTTACCTGACACTCAACGCGTTAGCAGCAACACCACTCCTCCTTTGGAGTCGTGGTGTTGCTGCGTAACGCGTTTCGTGACAGGTAAAAGTATTATCCGGTAATCCCGAAACCTCTTGTGGTATTACATTCGACAATCTTTTCCATGCATTACTCGCCATCTAGTTGTGAATCTGTATAACGCGCTTTCAGGGTTGGCATGAACAAATAGTTATTTACCTAACAAGTGCGGAAAGTGGTGCTTTTCCGCCCACGACCACAGTTGGCAAGCTGTCAAGGGCGGAATAGCTATTTACCTAACAAGTGCGGAAAATTATTTTTTCCGCACGCGGCTGCCGTTCACCGAACGACGCGTAGCGGAGTTCGGTGATGCAGCCGAGTGCGGAAAAATATTTTCCGCAAGTGTTAGGTACAATATTTTTGCTACAGGCGTAAAAATGTAAAATTTTTCTTTTTTTTTTTGACTATCAGTGCGGTAAAATTTTTTTCCTACAGCCGTGCGGAAAAATCGATTTTCCGCACTGATATGCGTGCGGAAAATGAGTTTTCCCGCACGGTGCGGTAGAACTTTTTTTTTTGACATATCAGTGCGCACGGCGCACGGCTGTCAGTGCGGAAAAAATTTTACCGCACTGATATGTCAAAAAAAAAAAAAAAATTACATTTTTTCGCCTGGAAAAATATTGTACCTAACACTTGCGGAAAATATTTTTCCGCACTTGTTAGGTAAATAGCTATTCCGCACTGACAGCCGTGCGGAAAAACTTTTTCCGCACTGATATGTCAAAAAAAAAAGTTTTACCGCACCGTGCGGGAAAACTCATTTTCCGCACGCATATCAGTGCGGAAAATCGATTTTTCCGCACGGCTGTAGGAAATAGCTATTTATACAATAAGTTACGAAATGAGCGTCTTTTAGGCACGCGACGTGAAAATTGTCCAACGAGGCAAAGCCGAGTTGGACAACACGTCGAGTGACTAAAAGACATCGTTTCGTAACGTATTGTATACAAAATTTTTTCTACTGGCATTTTATAATAAAAAAACACAATTTTATTTCATGTGAATAAGTCGATTACACCCAAAATCTTTGTTACCTGCTTTTACTTGACACCTGACACTTTTCATGCGATTTTCTTTTCAAAATTCGACATCAATAATTAAAATCCTAGAAAGTAGGTAATAACACAAACTTCTGTTTTGAGTAACCCAAACGTTCAATTCAGTAATTCCATTTTCAATATTCATAATAAATGCAAAACAAAATTCAAATCTGTGTTCAGTGTGTTTTTTATTTCTGAATAATGGATGACACTTTTAGGCACTAGTGCTTAAAAATTACTTTTACGCACTCATAAGTCACTTTTACGCATTCAAAAGTCACTTTTACGCACTGAGTGCCTAAAAGTAACTTTTACGCACTCAGTGCCTAAAAGAATGTCGTTTCAAAACTGAAATGACAATCGAAAAGTTGCTATTATGAAACGTCAGTAGAAAAAAGACATTTTCCGCAAGAGTTAGGT